CTCGAAAGACACAATCGGCCCTTTTCAGGGCCACCAAATATCTTCTTAACGGACGAATCGCTATTCCATTGATTTTTTTTCTTTAATCAAAAATAAATTCACTTTATATATAGGAACAACTAAATGAAGTATATAAATCTGCTGGAAAAAGAAATCATTGAGTAATAATTGTAGGCGAAATTTTTCAAATGAATCTCAAATTACTTGAAAATATATTTTATATTGCATTTGTATTATATTTTAGGCTAATTATAGGATTATATAAATTTTTGTAAAATTTGTAAGCTGTTAATATGTTGGAAATTATTTTCTGTTTACAGTTAGCCATATTGTACGATTTCATATTTAGTGGCCATTTTTTTTTTAAATATAATCTTATATTTTTATTATTAATTACAATTTCAGATATTCATTGAATCAAATATTTTTCATGTCCAGAAATTTTTTGCAATTTAATGTACATATATTTAACCGATATTGTTTGATATTTTTATTTTACTAATTTATTATCGATTGAATTATTAATTCAATTGAATAATAGAATGTTGTATGTACATTTTCCATCGTTCTTCAATTATTTTGTTATTGAATACTATTTAACATTAATTTATTGTTATGGATAAATTTCATTTATCGTTACCTCGATATGGCTAATATTTTTCTTTTAATTTTATTCTTATAATCGATTATAAAGTAGTTGTTAAAAATTTTTATATTTATTCATTTTATGATATACCTCAGATTATCATAATTTTATGTCTAAAAATGACTTGTTTATATATATATATATATATATATATATATACATATGGAGATAATTATCAGACTTTTTCTTGTACGTATTTCCTAATTCTATCTATTTTCATGATTAATTGTTACTGACAAATTTTGCAATGTTTGAAATTTTTCACCGCCGACACGAGAAAATAATTAATGACTTTTTCGTTTATATTTTATAGCTTATTTCAATAGATCCTCATGGGATGAATTTTTAATGAATTATATAAATCTTTGAATGTATAAACATTCTATTTAATAGTACGCGCTGACGAATTTATTGTTCAATAATCTTGTGATTGCGATTAGCTGTTAGAGGAAATTTTTAAACAATTTTCTTATATTAAATAATCTCTCGTGTCTTCATATTTAATAAATTTATCTTCACGCGTACTTAGTATGTCGGTATAATTGTTTTTCATAAATCTAAAGCTAATTGGAATCGAACGTAAGTATTTCATTCCTTTTAAATAAATAAAAAATAATATAGGTTTTTAAATTTTATTTTTATCGAAAATCAATGGTTGAGTGAAATGAAAGAAATGCTACGCCGCACCAATAAGAATTGCCAGGCGGATGGAAGAGAACGTAGTCGACTCTGATTGGTGCGACTTGGGTTTAGGTTGGGGTATTACTTGTGTCTTTCCCCCCCCCCACTACTGCCGAAAGGCATTTGGTTATTGGAGAGGCGCAGCTTTGCGGAAGAGTATATATAAGCGTGAAATCGTTTTATTCGTCAGTGTGCTTGTGATTTCGTTTTGTGGCAGTTCGTAATAATTTGAAACTATAATGTCAGGACGCGGTAAAGGTGGTGGTAAGGTCAAGGGAAAGTCAAAGACCCGCTCCAACAGGGCTGGACTGCAGTTCCCCGTAGGACGTATTCACCGTCTTTTGCGTAAGGGCAATTACGCCGAGCGCGTTGGTGCCGGTGCTCCGGTCTACCTCGCAGCCGTCATGGAATACCTTGCGGCTGAGGTCCTCGAGTTGGCAGGCAATGCCGCCCGGGACAACAAAAAGACCCGTATCATTCCCCGTCACCTCCAGCTGGCCATCCGCAATGACGAGGAGCTCAACAAATTGCTCTCGGGAGTGACCATCGCCCAGGGTGGAGTACTGCCCAACATCCAGGCCGTTCTCCTGCCCAAGAAGACCGAAAAAAAGGCGTAAATCGCCAGTTATGCAAGACCATGAATTACTGAAAAATCTTTTGAGCGTTTGGTATAAATTATAAGTATAATTAGCTGAGAAGTAAAATGAAGTTAATTTGAAAGATATTTTCAGTTGTTTTTTTTTTTTTTTTTGTTGATCACTTGTAATCGTTAATGATCAGATGTTTTTAATAAATATGAAATTTTAGTTCACATTTAATGAAACAGCATTTTATTTAGAAAAATCCTTTGTATGTACATAATTTTTTTTATCTTGTAAATAAATAGAATTATATATTAGTAATAGTGGTAATTATTATATTGAATGTATGTAAACAATTATTTGTTTTTATAGTTTTTTGTATCTTTGGTGTATGCATGTGGTTGACTAATCATTCATTATACCGATAATTATATAATAGGCGACGAATGGAATTTTAACGAGAGAAAAGTTCTTCATAGAGGAAGGAGGAAAGGAAGTTTGTGTTACCGGAGCAGATAAAGTTGGATATTATTATTGATTATTCTAAATAATTGTATATGTAAATTAATTCTTTACTTCAATAAAAACTTTATTATGTTATTCATATTAAAATAATTATTTATAAACTAATTTTTGTAAAATCTTGTATAAGTTCAATACGAAGGAAACTTTTGAAGTCTTACAGTTAATACATTTATTTTAATTCATAATTATTTATCAGCTTACTGATTATCATTAAATTTGTACACAACTAGACAACTAATGAATTGTCGGGTTTCATATTTATTTTTGTAACTTGTATAATAGAAAAATATTCTATATTTTACAGTCGATTTAAGACACTTTGAATTGATCGAAGTTTTGTAATTAGTTCATTACCATTTGGTTTACTGAACAATGTTGTCAAGCATTTTGAAATTACATCTTGGCATCTCGTTATTATTTTCCTTCTGAAATAATATAAATAATTTTATTGTATTCCAACCGCTGGAATGTAAAAAATAAATATTTCACATTTAAATTTATATTTTTAGGAAATGATATCTTTCAAATCTTTGTATCGAGTAATTCATATTTCATTCCAAAACAGCATTGGTAAATGATTGCAAAAATATGAAGAATATTTGGTGAAGCATCACGACAATAATATTGTATTGGATGTATTAAAATTTTGAATTAATTATCCGGTCAGTTGAAAATACACGTTAAGAACATATATGTAAATTGAAATTGTTTACCTTATAAAAGTATTTGTAATGTTTGAATTTGTGATAAAATAATTCACTAGATTAGCAGTTGATTCGATCAAATGAAATTCGTTTCCCTCGTTAAGCCATATTCGATTATTTCCTCCAATCAACCTGAAATAATAAATTTACAATGTCAAGCTTATGTATAAGAATGTGCAATTACAATATTTTACTTTCATGTACGGGCTAAATAAAACATTTACTTGTCATAGTAATCGAGGAGTTCTTCCATTGGTATACTAAGTTGTAAGAAGCACGTTATTATGTGATTATTTGATATTTTCAATCTACAAGCTCTTACTTCTAATTCTTTAATTAGAAAATCTGTACAAAAATGAAATTGAGGGGTAATAATATTACAACTGCTCGAGCTCTTATTAATGCGTATACTCATCTTACCTATTGGGAAGCAATGCGGCGTTCCACAATATTCTTGACCGAGGAGTTTTATTTTACTCGTAACAATAGCTATTTTATCCTCCGAGGGTATCGACTCATCCTTTAACTCTGATCAATAATTATATTAAGAAATTTAATCACAACATGTAATACGGTATATAATTGTTTTATAATTAATTTTTACCAATTTCAATTATGTTTTTCCAAATTCCTTGAATTAACATTACGTCTTGATGTCCGGAACAATGAATTATTGCTAATTTACATTCCCATAATTGTAACGGTTCCGCATACTCTTCATAAAGCTAGAGGACACAATCAAGCGATAATAATTATCCTTCATATTTCTATGAAAAATACCACTACACTATAACGAACTATTTTAATTATATATATATATATATATATATATATATATGCAAATATATAATATACCTGAGTAATGTCTAGCAAAGTAGAGTTTAACCTCAATTTTGCATCTCCTACGGTCAAAGAGTCAAAATGTGCTTGCTGATTGCAAATAGTATCTAAAATCTTAATAAAAATATGTTGATTTGATATATTGAAATTAGATGTTATATTTAGAAAATTGAAAAGAAGTTCGAACCTGTTGTTGTATACGGGCGACTTCCACTTTATCTTCAAGCTCTCTCAAGAAGACTCCTAAGTGTGGTGCGTAACCAGCTTCGTCACTACGCATGCATACTACTGCTCGTGCCAAATACTCGACTCGTTGTGGCAGGGAAACGTCAGTTCTGTCAAATCGTTAATAAGTTGTATTAAGTTGTGCACGTGATTATGTAAAATATTTGTTTCTTCTTCTTCTTCAATGTAAAAGAAGACATTGTGCGAAATCCTTATAAATATTTGTCAAAAATAATGCATACCTAAGAATAAGATGAGGATAACACGATCTTTTCAATAAGTCACTTATTATTTTCAACAAATAATTATTTCAGATGTCTTAAGATGTTATAGAGGCCACTAATTTGCTGATACAATTAATTCTTCTTATGAGGGAGGGGGAGAGAGAGAGAGAGAGAGAGAGAGAGAGAGAGAGAGAGATAAGGAAAAAAAAAAAAAAAAAAAAAAAAAAAAAAAAAAAAAAAAAAAAAAAAAAAAAAAAAAAAAAAAAAACAACAACAACAACAACAACAACAAACAAACAAACAAACAAACAAACGAAAGCTTTAATTGCCACCAAGTTGCTTGTCGTTGTTGTGCATTTCGTAATAATTGGTCGGCCAACTTACCCAACTTTCGCCGCAAGAGCATAAAGAATTTTAGCCGCCGCTGCGTGATTCTTGTTTCGTTCATAAAACTGCCAAAGTAATTCTGGCGCATTTACACGAATGAGATACATTTCTAACGAAGGCGTAGCAAGGGCAACCAATTCACCATGAAGAGACTTTTCAATCATCCAAGCGTATACCGCTGTATGAAGAGTTTCGCACGAAGAATGTAATGCCTCTTCGATAATTTCATGCATCTGCAGCAGATAAGAATTTGACAAATGGCTTTGAATTCCTCCATTTATTCTATCTATCCGTCATTAGCTCGTGGCACATCATCACGACCATCGATATTTTGCGACTTTAAACGTTATTACTTCGTATCCGACTTATAATATTTGGAATACTGTCGGATTTGTTAATTAAGAGACGAGGATAAGAGACGAGGATGGAGTAATCGTCAAATCAATAATACGAGCACAATCTAAACCCCACAAATTCGTTAGATTTGAAAATATTATGTGCGATTTAATTACCGTTTCCTTTGCCGAAGCAACGACAGCCATCGAATTTGATATACTTTGATTGTAGATGTAATCGAGCATTGTTGTGAATTCCTTGTAAATCTCTAATCTGTATGTAAAATAATTTAATAAGTTCAACATTCGGCAGGCAACAATTATTTTTACGTTCGTGTAATTCTCGACTTTCTTACCTCTTTAAATATGCAAAATTTCCCTCTTGATCCTCCACGGGCTCGTTATTCTTATAAAAATGAAAGGCTGCATTATTGGGATCGACATTTTCTGCACAGCAGAGGCACAATTCCAATACTCCTTGATAAAAATGACAGGCGACGAACTGTTGACAAACCGCAGCGACATTCAGCCTCGGGGCAACCTCTTTACACAACTAAAACGCAGAGAATTTTACAATTTGATATTGTATAATTGTTCGATAAATGCAAATGTAATGCAGCTAATGTAAAACCTTTAAGGCCGACTGAAGGAAGGACTCTTTTTCCTCAAAATTTGTGCAGCTCTTCGCTTTTAAGATGATTTCATTTGCCTGCAACAATGGAACGTAACGTGTCTTTAAATTTAACGGACATCGGTCATTTTCGAGCTACGCATGCCCTGTCGCTTATTTCATACGTACTTTCGAACAAACGGCGTCTTCGCTACGATACAAATTTGGACAAATTTCACGCAGTTTCGCACTGACCGAGTCGACCGAGGCATTGTCGCCCAAATAACTGAAATTAAGAAGAAGAAGAAGAAGAAGAGGAAGAAGAGAAGAGGAAGAGAAGAAGAAAAGAAGAGAAAGAAAAAGAAAAAATGAAGCAAAAAAACAAAAAGAGTCATCGCTACGACGAGACATTAATCTCTTACAACTTCTTTTTACCTGTCGATCAAATTAATTATCAAGAGGGAAGAGATTTCGTGGCCAATTAAGATGAGATCTCTGAATGTTGCGGTTGAAAATTGATTCACTTGATCCTTGGACAAGCAGCTGACGATATTGTGAAGTTGATTCTCGCAAAGTACTTTCCACAATCCAAGAATTTCACATGCGTGGGTAATAAAGATTTTTAAAGCATCCAAAGAATTTCTTTCTTCCACTATTGGCTCTTGAAAATTATTTGCTATCGTACTATCAAAGCCATCCGTGATACTCCTCACCGTACTATGCCTGACAGTTAATTATTAAAACATTATTCGAATAATAGCAGTAAAATTAACCTATTTAACAATAAAGTTCACAAGGGCAAAATTTCATCGTAACGTTTTTATCGGTTGAAATTTATTAATTAATGAATTAATTCGCGTTAACTATCGAGACTTAATACCGGGGCACTCAAGTCGGAGACCATTTTTATGTCTAACAATTTTAGACATTAAGATTATAGTTTAACGAGCGCGCACTTTTATATCGGACATTTGAAATTCAGTGGTCAAGTTTTGGTTAGTTGATTAGTTATGATTATCGAACGACTAATGAAAATATCGGGAATTCTGTAATTAATGAGCGAGTCATCAACCACCACCAGCTACCGACACTTTACCCGTCCAGACATTTACGATTCGCGAGACTCGTCGTGTCGGGCCGACTGTTGTCAAACACCTGCCACCCTCCCCTCCCCAAATCGGATAAGCTGCACTTACGGCTTAGCGATGTGAGTATTTTTGTTAAGGAAGGATCGAAGAGCTTGCAAGTGACCGAGGATCCATCCGACCTGCGTCGCATTGACGGTACTCAGTATGTGAATCTTGTTGCTCGCGCTTTCCTGCTTGATGCAGCGGATATTCCAGATCGGCCGCAATATTCTGCCGATGTAGAGGTAGAGGCCGCCGTGCTTAGCCGAGAATTGCTGCAGAGCTATGTCGGCGTTTGGACCGGTTTGTGGCTGCTGGGGTGTGCGCAGCAGTTGCGAGCGCGCGTCCAGGAACTGCATCCGCGGCGTTGAAGTGCGCAGATCTGCGGAAAACGCGTTTATCAGACGGCAAAATGGCGTATTCTTTCTATACGACAGCGCTTTGGACAGATTTGGAAAGTGAATTTTTCTCAAAAAAAAAAAAAAAAAAAAAAAAAAAAAAAAAAAAAAAAAAAAAAAAAATACTCATCCCCCCCCCTCTTGATCGATGATTGTAGAACCATTTGGAGCTGTTAATCTTGTCGTTCGCTTCCTTTCGGTCTCGTTCCATACACTTTCCTTACCAACATTGCCGAGATTTTCCTTCACGATTACAGCATTAAGCATCTTTTATTGTATTGTAATATTTATTAGAATTACAGCGCCTGACATGACAATCGAGCGATCCTAAACTAATCCTATAGCTAACAATTCTTTAAAAAATAAAATCTTATTTGAAATACTTTACTTTCGTTCCAATTATAAATATCAATTAGGTATTAATAATTAAATTGCAAATTGAAAGTAATAAGATACCTGTGGTGATATTTGGAAAGGAAGCGTGCGGGTCAACTGATTGAAGAGCCGCGATTTTTTGTCCGCCGTATAAGAAGAAAGCTCTTGTTGCCCATTCGGCAATCTAAAAAAGTAAACATTATGAATTCTCCATTTATCGATCTTAAGCTTGACGAATTGATGAAATTACTTGGGCATTTTGTGAACTTTCTAGCGTGGCAAGAATAAGGCATGTCGCACAAGCTTGTTCTGGTGATTGCGTTTGAAAATAAGCTCTAACGGCTTCGGTATCGGGACCCCGTTGTTCGAGAAGAAGTTGTCGTAAAATATCAACGGGACGAACCTGAACAAGTACTATGGCACCCTGAAATTAATATTCGCGATAGCTTAGTATATCATCGCGTTTACATATATGTATATATGTATATATGTATTAAAATTGGCATAATTGTTAACAATAATAGTCTTTGTGCTCTGAATATCTTTGAAAGGAAAAAGAAAATAAATAATAATAATAATTACAATTACAAGGTGTAACAAAGGTAGTAACAAATAGAAATATGAACAAATGCAATTTTCCAATTTTTTTTTTCTCCTTCCGTACTTAATTATCGATCGGTTAAGACACACACAAAGCTAGCAGCATCCGATCATTATGAAATCACACGGACATGTCATAACATTTTAACCATAATATATCCTCCGTTTCATTCGTCAGATTAAACAAATTCGTCATCTCTTATAAAATGACGCTTAATTTTCAATTAAGCACTAAAAAATATCAACAAAAAAAGAAAAAAAGAAAAAAAAAAAGAAGAAAAAAAAATACATACTTGCGCGGTGAGAAAGATGAATTTACGAGGAGGTTCCATATGCTGGCGAACCAAGAGTGGAGGATCGCCTTGCGCTCCGCATTGTTTTTCTATTTGAATGGCAGATTCGCCAGGAATCTCAGCCAATGCCCACACTGGACTATCGAGCGGTAGGATACTTTGCGTCTCGGCGAGATAATTTGAAAAAGGATAGGCGTCATTGCTTAAACACCATGCGCTCTCAGTGTCACCGCCGCATATTAAAATGAGCGTTCCTGATTAAAAATTTACAACTTTTTATATTTAAATAACATTGTATTATCGATGATTATTAGTAGTGTTCTTTGTCAAGCAACATTTCATTCATTCAACATATGATTCTCGATCGTGAATCTCACTCAACTGAAATTCACGATCGTTTGTAAATTCGCACTTGTAAATGTAAAATATTACATATTACTATTATTATTTGACCGAAATTAAATATTTAATTCAAAGATTCTATATAAACACACACACACACACACACACGCGCGCGCGCGCGCACACACACACACATATTAATGACTTTTTCATTATTTAATTCCTTATATTTATTTTTTCAGGTAAGGAACGAATATTTAGTAAAAGTAAAAAGCTACCTTTTCTGTAGTGAGCCATTTGAACTTTTCGTGGTCTCATAACGGGTGCATTAGCTGCGTAACCAGGTGGCAATCTAACATGAATAAGTTGTAAACATTGTGGTCTTCCCATAGGGTTTGACGCAGACGTACAACTAAAATAAAATCTTGTGCCCGTTGCTGCAACAGCGACTAAATTCAAATGCAGTGATTCTGACTCATTGATAGCTGAAATACTGACAAGGGGTCTGAAGTTATTACTATCTAAGGTTTTTACAACGTGAACCGAGTTTTGTACTAAGGAAGCCTGAGACATCGATGTAGCTTTAGATGCTCCTCCGCTATCGATATTCCATACGGTTATTGTTCCTTTGTCACCTAAGGTATAAAGTATATTACGAGAGTCATCGACTGAAATTTGTACTATGGCTTCTTCTTCGGAAAGAGCAACCGAGACGAACGACGGTATGAGAAATGAAAATGGACCTTCCGAATGATTCACTTTTTTACAACGTTTTCCAAACCAGCTGCTTTCCGCCTATAATATTGTAGCAGACGTTAGTATTTAGCCTATAACATTTTTTTCAAAAAAAAAAAAAAAAAAAAAACATACCTGATAATATATTTCGTACAACGAACCATTCCTTCCACCAAGAAATATTCTTCCACTATTTGTATTAGCAATTGTCGTTATGGCGATTCCATCGGTGGTTACAGTAAAAATGGGCTCGGGTACCAGTTGCATTTCACCTTGGGTCCCTAAAGCCAATGTTTCATTCATCGATTATCCAGTTAAAACTTACTATAAATAAATTAAAATATAATTATAGACGTTTTTCTAATTAACTACCATCTTCGTTATCCGTGAGTGTAACGCCCAGAACTGTAATTTCTACCGTTGTTGTCAAAACAAGCAAGTACTTAACGTAGCTCTGAAAAATCCCGCTCTTCGGTTTAACAAGTCCCACGCTGATTATTGTTTCATTCAAGCCATCAAAATATGCAACATCAGATCTAAAATTTAACGCTCGATTAAAACTACATTCTTTAATTTAACGATATTTGAATGAAATTAATATTTACTCGTTTTCGTACGACCAAACATAAATATCGCTATCTATTGTTAGCCATGCTTTAGAAATATCTGTGAATAGTCCCATCATACAATGACACTGCATATCTGAACGTTATTTGTTAAAGAAAATCATAGATATTAAAAAATGCTTAAGCCTATCGATATTATTTATTATAATGATACGAGTTTAAAATTAACGACCAGATTTAGAAATGTTTATTAATTTGATTGTCAAGTAGCGTATTTAATATCGAATGAAAATATCAAATATTAAAACAAATCATTTTATTACGATACCATAAACGATAAATCATAAATAACCGCTTTTATGTACTGAAATTTCAAATGTTTTCAAATAGCTCTATCATGGAAAGACGACGTGCGCCATACATTAATTGCTTATAAAGGATACGACCAAAATGTTCCATAACTTCAGATGGTAATGGTATTTTGCTGTGAGTTCTCATTTGATTAATGTTAATTAAGCTCATCGATGCCCCATTTAAATTTGGATAATCGTAAACATCGAGTCCACTGACGGTTGGACCACCTTGCAAATTATATCGCATAAGATTGATCAACGAAGGAAAATTACTGTCGGCGATGATGTGCTTATCCACCATTTTTCCAGCCATTTCCAAGGCATCGAGGTGAATCTTCATTGGTTCCATTTCGGTTAAAGTCATAACACTCTACTTTGATATTACTATAAATTTTAATAAAACAAAAAGTCCATAAACATTGACATTATCACCAAATCAATGCTTACGATTAAATGTATTATTAAATTATTTTCAATGCAAGTGACTTGATTATAGTTTCAAACCAATCGGCTTCTAATACGTTCTTCGACAAGTGAAAATTGCAATTACTCACTGCCAATAATTTTTTTTAATAAACAGGTTAATCGTTAAATTCAATGTTTCGACACAATTATTATTAGTTCAATACTTACGTTATTATGAATAAAGAAAGTTGTAGTTTTTATAATAAATTCGGGTATTGTATCAAGGTAGCATTTGATTTTAAAATATTTACACCGTGTGATTGACTAACGAAGCTAACATTGAGGTTAATCTTGAATTTATCATTTTAAAATTCAAATCAAAATTGCCGACATAAGTGTTGTAAATGAATAGAACTCATCTCTGTATCAATCCTTATTATGATAATTTAATTAAGAATCGGACACTTCTCGATGTACGAATACGAATGAAACAACAAGTGTATTAAAAAAAAAAAAAAAAATTCGGATTAAAAGTTCGATTAAACGCCGGGAACCGGGACCGGCTGATCAACTGATATTTTTATGTTGAGACAGACACGATCGTCCAATCTACTTCGACTTTCCAGCATATTCTAACGTTCGAGCTGCGTAATTATAATATCACAGATAAAAATTGTGTATTAAAAGGGGCGGCCTTTAGTTTAATAAGGAGTTTAAGCTCATTATTATTGGAAAATTTCCGTAGCTCGAAAATAATATCGAAGTTTGGAAAAATTCATTTCGTTTAATCCTTGCTCGCCGTTACTTCCGGTACATTCACATACGTACGTAGCATTCGCTAACCGCACGTTCGCTCCACGGATTTCATTTTCATTGCATATAAATTTCATTTTTCACAACGATACAAGATACCGAGTCCTATAGCGTTACGTGGCTATTCTATCTTATAAAACTCGTCTTAAGAAGTGATGATTAATTATATTTTTGTTTTTGTTTTTGTTTTTGTTTTTGTTTTTGTTTTTAATATACAAGCCCGTCCGTATTGCATTGACGTTAATTTGAAATTATCGACAGAATAATGATATTGGATTTTATCAGTTGGACACGTTTAACGATAATTTAACGATCAACACAGTTCTGTATGTACAGCTAACCAAATGATTTCATTTATTTGAAGTTTTGTCAGAACCGTGTAAATCCCTCGATCGCCCTTACTTGGATCAGTTGCCAAAGAATTTGTTGCAGAGTCGTTTCCCGCGCTAATACGAGTCTTCGCAGTCCACACGCAACAAGTCCATATGCTCCTCGAGATCAATTTAAAAATGAGTTTATTATCAAAATTATTCTTTTAAAGCATCTCTAGGTAGGTGAAACGAGTTCGCTAGATACCGCGAGTGGTAATGTATTTTATACGGATTGCTATAATATGGCTATAGATTGATAACTCACCGCTTAAATATTTTATGCGAAGCATTCGGCTGACAAAAGCTTCTTGGAAAATCGTAATAACAACGGCTTTTTTTAACTAATGCGGAAAGGCAGCGCTCGAGCGAATGAATTTTGCGGCTATGCCAGTTAAGACATTTCCATTATTTTCAATACGAATACGCAAAAGTTAATTGTTATGTCGGCTGTGAGGATCGTATAATTGTATTTTATTACGAAAGCAAGTACTCGTCTATTATTCGTCTAGTTATTATTTTCAATAAAGATTGTGTTTTTTGTTGTTGTTGTTGTTGTTGCACTACAAAGACGTTTTGGACAACGCATATTCATTATTTTTAGCAATATTGAATATTCTTATAGGCAACTTGTAATTAATTTACTGCTCTCGGATTATTAACACCATATTTTATTTCTATTCATTGGTCAGGGATAAATAAAATAAGACTTTTTCTAATATTCATCGCTTTTATACCAAAATCAATATCACTATAATTAAATTCAATTATGTTATAATCAATAATTTGTAAAAATATGTTACTATTTTGAAAATGCATTAACTCGTTAATTATTCGTATTCAATTTACAAACTACTTTCTAGAAAAATCAATCGCAAATATGTCATAGTAATCTAATCAAACTCTCAATTTACAAAACTTATCTGATTTAAGGGAACAAATATTAAAAGCATTTATATATATATATATATATATATATATATATATATGTGTGTGTGTGTGTATAAACTAAAGTTTTATGAAAAATTTTAAAATAATTTTAAAGTTGCACACATGCTTGCTTGCAATAAACAGGATTTATACATAGTGTCAATTTTTAAAAGTCCTTTAAATTAATTACTTTCAGCCGATTAGCCATAAGAACTCCGTAAGAAAATTATTTAAGAATTTTAAAAGTAATACTTTCTTAAATATAAGATTTTGTATGAATTTTAAGAAATTAGTTTTTAACAACGATTTATCGTAATTTTTGTTTACAATGTCGTTTATAAGTATTTCAAGTTTTAGTAATTCTTCTTTCTTCTTAAAATAGGTACATTTATTTGTCAGAATATTTCTTTAATATCAATGCGACATATACTCAAAGATCAATCAGTTAATTGAAAAATCGATGTATTGTTGAACAGATGTTTCATCTAATTATTCAAATAAATTAAAAAGAGTAGAAAAAAAATTAGATAAAACTGATTATTTATAACATTTTTAACCTTAAAAAACAAAAAATCGCTCTATTTTACAAAATAATACAATTTAAAATAAATATTTATCAGAATTACATTTCCAATTAATATAAAACAAGTGGTTTGTAGAAACACATTTGAAATTAAAATAATATCCACAGTAATGCAATCTACAAAAGATCTATTTGAAGAAAATTATCTCTCTACACCTTATACGACACTGTTATATAAATAGTTTTGCTTATTTGATGATGAAAGACAAATTTCCTTCAAAATATGAAGTTGTTCGACTCTTAAGAAATAAAAAGATAAACTATTTTTATAATTAAATAATTATTTTGATAATTATGACAATTCTAAAAGAAAATTTGCAATTTAAATATTACTGTTTAAAATTTGGGTTAGTTTTGATAATTTTTTAATACTCGAATGCAATATCTTTCCCATTTGTTAAACAAACTGTTTCTGATGTAAATCAATTTTATATTTACGGAGGTCTTTATTTTTACATGAATCAGTGTCTTCTGAATTTTGTTTAATTTAAGTTAAAATATCAATGGATAATTCTAAAAAGTTTAAATTAATGAAAATATTTAATACGTCTTATTTAAAATTATTATTCTTTCATTGGTATTGAATAATGTAGATTGTTAAAAATTGTATTTTACTGTATTAAAATTGTTTAATTTAATTTTTAGACACTATTAATTTCAGTATTAAAACGATCATTTTAATTTGTTATGGTTTAATGTTAATTTAGTTTTTCTACTAACATTCTTTATTATTTAGGGGACACAACTTCGTATGAAAAAAAAATCTTGTTTTCATGAATAGGATTTTAATTTTTTTTTGTAAAGTTATTATTTTTGTAGTTTGTTGTAATTGTTAAATAGTTACGTGGATTTCATAGAGATTATTTCTCTTTTATTTTATAAAAGCGAATTGATAACTAATAATTTTTTTATCAATCTCGGTATTTTATATTGTATATAATACATATCAAGATATATAAGTAAATAAAATATATTTATTAAATATATTGATTGTTTTTTTAAATTATTGTAAATAAACATATCCTTAAAAATTAAAATTCGCGTATCTCGTATTAAATTCTATTCAAAATATAAGAAAAATGAAAACATTAAAAATTTCGAATGTATATTCGAAACTTTATTTATAAATATTACAACTGCGTCAATGGATTAAAATCTTTACAATGTTTCCATAGCAGCTGCACTTTCTTCAGTATATTTGCCCTTATCTTTTCCAAGCGCAGCAAGACGACCTTTACCTCTTCGATCAATAATCTTTTTACGATCTTTGTCCATTTTTAGTTTGACAATAACAGTCTGGAAAATAAACATGTAAATGTTAATTTAGAATTTTTAATTCATAATTCAAGCGCGATTTTTGAAAATATTAAAAAAATCAGTGCCAATTTATCTGCAAGGATTAAACAAAGCATAAAATTTTTATCAACAGACAGGAAAACCCTGAAAGAGATTTAAAAGTCATACTTTACGTTTGAATCTCTGTGAATGGTTTAAATCATCATGTGCACAATTTTCACACTTATAAAATAAAATTTCTATTAAGTAATAAATACCTTGGAAGGATCAATTCCAACATAAACACTAGCACCATTCATTTTTTCTCTTTGAATCCTTTCGATGTATATGACAAATTTTTTCCTGTAAACTTGAATTACTTTGCCAACTTGTTGGCCTTTATAATGTCCTCTCACCACCTATAAAAATAAATGCCTATATAGCATAAACGATTTAAGTAAAGTATATTTGTTATTATAGAATCAATGTATTGACATTTAAAATCATTGGCAAGTTTTTTCTATTTATTATACAAATAAATATCAAACACGATTAACAGGAGAATCCCAAAAATTATAATCTCATGAATATTTGTGTATGTATGCTTTTAATTATTGTTTCAAACATAAATTTAATTGCATTATGAAAGCACATGTTATCTTGATTTCAACAAAACCACCATTAAATTAAGCTATAAGATTTTAAAGTAAAATATAATTTAAATAAAATGTTATTTTATATCTAAGCTTTAGTATTACAACATTGAAACATTAGTGATTTAACGCTACATCGATTGCCTTTAAAAATATCAATTTTTCTATTAGCATTACCTGAACTTCATCATCTTTGCGAATTGGCATAGTTCGAACATTATATTTTAATCTGAGTTCCTTTGAAAGGGGTGCAGACATAAGTCTTCTTCGTATATGAGACGGAGCTGTGAAATGTCTTTTTCTATTTTTTCTTCTTGACGACGTTACTAATTTATTAAATTTCATCTTGTCTGGAACAAATAAATAAATGTCTACATATGAACATGTACATACGATTAAAATTTATGAAAGCATGTGAAAACAAATATAACCTCATTCGATCCTCGTAATCAAATTCAATTACTTTAATATCAATTATATACAAATAACAAATTCATAAGAATAATGATTATTGATAGTCCGTAAAAAAAAAAGCATTATCTCTGATAACGAAGAACAAATGTATATTTGCATTTTCTATCTTCATAATAAAAATATGTCATAATTTTCCGTTTAAATTAATTGCGTGCAAAAATACACATCAAGATACTTACTTAAACATTAAAATATTGATTCTCGTAAATTATTGTCAATGATTGTTTAACGATGTTTAATAATAATACAGATATTTAGAATAAAACTTACCAAAAATAGGGCAGGTTCTACAGGGAGAACCGGAAGTATATACAAACTTCCAAAAAGAAACTTTCAGTTCGCTTAAAGTTGCATTTACATGATAAAACATCATGACTAAATTTGTCCACCAATGGCCGTTGGCTATTAAGAACTTAACCCTACTTCTCTAATCGCACAATGCACATAGAAATTTTAACATTCGTCTGCCCGATAGAATATTCGACTGGTGATCTTATTACATTTGAAATATGTTTAGTTTTAATTCAATTTCATCACAACTGCAACGACATTAACAAAAACGTCCATTTCCAAACAATAAGGAATATTTTATTTCATAAAATTTAAGTTAAAAAATTATTTGCCTATTATTTAAGCTGCAATTATTGTTAGTCCATGTATACGGATTATAAAGAATTTATTGTATTTGATTTTATGTATATTAGAGAAAATTAATTATACATATAAAATTTTAAAATATTTTTCATCTTGATCCTTCTATCAAATGGTATTTTTTAATAATATAGGAATAGTGTAAATACAGTATGCCAGTGATATAATATCTATTAATATTATTAAGTTTTTATTAAATAATTAATATATATAAATTTAAAATATTGTCACATTATTTGTATGCTTTATAAATTATAATTATTGCAATATAAATATGTCATGATTTCTAAATACATCTGTACAATGCTTTACACAGGGATATCATTAATTATTCCAAGTATTTAAATTATGTTGAATTTGTTGTGCGCGGATAATTAATAATTACAAACACTACCAATTTTTTATCGTAATTGTGAATGTATATCGTACCCTTTTAACTTGTAATTAAATTAAAAGTACATAACTTTATCACACGGCATATAAATAAATGAGTCGATTATTAATAATACATATTAAGTTGTTACTCGTGAATTCCCTCATGATATTATTAATCGTACTTTGTTTTATATTGTTTATAAAAATTAAAAATTAAATTTTATCAAACGTGCAAGTTCATTCGAATAATAATAGGTATTAAAAATTTATAAAACTATGCCCGGATAGCTCAGTCGGTAGAGCATCAGACTTTTAATCTGAGGGTCCAGGGTTCGAGTCCCTGTTCGGGCGTTTTTTTTTTTTATACACACACACACATACACCGTGCGTTGTACTTTACTTTACCAGTTTTGTGGTGTGCGTGCTTTTGAACATCAATCTCTTCAGAGGAGAATAATAATACTTAGAGACGTAATTTAATCCTCTTTTTTCAATATTTAATTTTTATGTAATTAATACTAATGATAAAATCATCTGATTACATTCGATAATTGTTTATAATTATCTAGAAGTATTTTTTAGTCATTAGTGCTCGATTAATAGTTTGTATTAATAGAGTAGAAAGTTTCGTGAGTTATTTAGTAAGGATATATATATATATATATATATATATAAATACCAGTACAAATCCAGTTTAAATCCATTAATAGTTAAAAATGAGTAATTTTTGCTATCGATAGTTGCTGGTATTATGTCTTCAAGACCTTATACTTTCTATCGCAAGAATTTTCTATTTTTACAAATTAATATGAAATAGTATGGTATACCTTGATTTTCATTAGTTAAAACTATGGTAGGACAGATTTAGACATTTTTAATGGTTCTTTGCGAAAATATTATCTTCTTATCACATTCCAATTCCAGAAAATAGTACAAACGTGTAATCGATCTTGTTTATTAGCCTTATTATGTAATTGTATGGAATAAAACAATATAAAATGTTTGTAGGCAAATATTCATTGTATAGATTGGTAAGAAATGACTGTGTAAAAATTATTAAATTTTTAATGAGCCGAATACATTGACAATCGAATGATTTATAAAAATTGCAAAGTTCGATACTAGTTATATAAGAACTGTTTAATAATTTGATTATGACGACGAGTATGTAAAACTTTTTATATAAATGGAAATTTTTAGAAATTTGTTAGAAATTTCTTGTAATATATTCTCCATAGTGTATAATGTGATTAAAATGTAACATTTATTTATTCATACATATGTATTATTTTATTTTTTATCCAGACTATGTACATTCAATGACTTAATCTCCTTTGGCTTATTCCTTCTTTTGGAAAAACTCATCTAAAATCTTATTGTCAGCTGAAAAAAAATATTTGTAATTCTTAATAAATATATAAAATATAACTTAATATGGGGATTTAACGTCGATAGAAATTATAATATTGAAAATTGATAGACTTGTAAGGATAAATTACTTTAAGAAACTTTTTAATCCTTGATGCATTTATCCAAAAAATTAATAATAAATTAATGATATTAACAAATTTATATTCTTCATTTATTGGCTTTACTAAAATGAATATGAATTGATGTTAAGAATATTACTTAATTTTATCTAAACGATAATTATTTTTACTTTAAAGCTGCCATTTTTCATTCAAGAAAATCTATTAATATTAATAGCCCGATAAGTAGATACTTAATAATATACCTTGTGTACTAATTAATTTTTCTTCTGCAAGCTTAGCGTCACGAATAGGTTTTTCAGCCTTTTCAATTTCTCTGAGGGCATTTTCCTTTCTTACAAATCTTTTCTGATTGATAATACCATATAAAATGCCGATTGTCAAGAAACTCCATCTACTGAACTATTAAAACAATAAACATATTTAATTTGCATAACGTGTTATTAACAATATGAAACTTAAGTATTTTAATTATGTTTTATAAGTCTTTTATGGATTTCATTTTTATTTATCATAAAGCACAGTACAATGTTGGTTGGAGTGTTTGAAGAATGTTTAAAAGGTGAATTTCGAACTTTTAAATTTGACTTTGGCATAAATGTTGTAATATAATATTAAATAATAAATCTAGTTATCGTCGTTGAATATTATTGTGAAATGAAATTAGATGTCAAAGTATGAATAAAAATACGATAAAAGAGGAGAGTATAGATCATTTTCAATCATAAATTTTTCCAATTTTCATGCTAACAAATTGTTTCGAACGAAATGTTGCAAATATGAAACAAATAGGAATTATTATATAACTCGTGTGTATCAAATTTAATGTGTCATATTTGATATGCGATTAGATGAAAATTCAAACAAAAGCCTCGAAAAGAATTATTAAAAATAAATCGTTTCGATAAATGTAGTAAATACCTTAATTAAAGGAGAAACATTAACGGGTCGTGGAAGTTCGATATTCGCCATTTTTACTGTTCAAATGACAAAAGGTATGACAGTGGCCGGTTAAGCTCTGTAAATCAGAGATCAACGAGTAATAATGATAGTCTTCTTATAACCTCTTTATATTCTGCGACCGAGAAAGAATTCGACATATGCAATAGCAAAATAAAGATGAATCTGGAAATCGGCCATTTTTTATTTATTCATATTATAGGAAAATGAAAATATTATTATCGATGAGTGGATAAAATGTTAAACAAACAAAATTGCGCGATACTACGAAATTTTACACATACGCGCCTGCACACTTTTTGATTTTTATTTTTTAAATATAAGCAATAATATTTTAATGGGGTAACAATGTAGAATAATTAATATGCGATTCTATCTACTGTCCAAGCACATCATACCGTATACCCGAACAATTACCGTTTAATTTGTTATTAAATAATTTCCAAATACTACTGAAACTATTGTTTTACTTTTAGGTAAAGTTTAAATGCATTAAATACGTTCTTTGTAAACCGGGCACCAATTTTTCTTATTTACAAAATTCATGTTTTACTTAAAAAAAAAAAAATTTACTTGTTTGTGCAATGTATTAACTCAAAATTAAGTTTTAAATAAAATTATTCATCAAAATCGTATTTATATTCTATTTAAATACATTTAAATTGTCCTAAGATCAACCGAATAATAACACTTATTTACTTGCAATAAATCTTAAATTTATTATGACAATCTAGCACATAAAAAAAAGGACAAAAGATAATACATAATGTTGTAAATGTAAATGAAGTAAAAAATGCCTTTTACAAAAAATTTTATTTCAATAGTGCTTAAATAATTTTTTGTTGTTTATCATTTCATAATTTCTTTAATACTCTTCGGCACCTTCTCCCTCTCCCTCGGTGGAGTCCATGCCTACTTCTTCGTAATCCTTCTCTAAAGCTGCTAAGTCTTCACGAGCCTCTGAGAATTCACCCTCCTCCATACCTTCACCAACGTACCAATGAACAAAGGCTCGCTTGGCATACATTAAGTCGAATTTGTGGTCGAGTCTTGCCCATGCTTCGGCAATCGCGGTAGTATTTGATAACATGCAGACTGCACGTTGTACTTTAGCAAGATCCCCACCAGGGACAACAGTTGGTGGCTGGTAATTAATGCCTACCTGCAAGATTAAAATAACCATGTTTATGTTTATTCATAAGTATTAATTAACATTGATTTTTGTACACATATTTATATTGAATAGAGCTTTTTTTTTTTTTAAATGACACTTAATGTAGAAAATGATTTTATGAAAATACATGCCTTGAAGCCAGTAGGACACCAATCCACAAACTGAATGGTTCTCTTGGTTTTAATGGTAGCAATAGCTGCATTAACATCTTTGGGAACAACGTCTCCTCTATAAAGCATGCAGCAAGCCATATACTTGCCACGTCGTGGATCGCACTTGACCATCTGGTTGGCTGGCTCGAAGCAAGCATTGGTAATTTCGGCAACGGATAGTTGCTCGTGGTATGCTTTCTCGGCTGAAATGACCGGCGCGTATGTTACGAGGGGGAAGTGAATTCGCGGATAGGGTACCAAGTTAGTTTGGAATTCTGTAAGATCCACGTTCAAGGCTCCGTCAAAACGAAGCGACGCTGTTATGGATGACACAATTTGTCCAATCAAGCGATTCAGATTCGTGTAAGTTGGACGCTCAATATCCAAATTACGACGACAAATGTCATAAATAGCTTCATTATCAACCATGAAAGCGCAATCGGAATGTTCTAAAGTCGTGTGTGTGGTAAGAATGGAATTGTATGGCTCGACGACAGCGGTAGAAACTTGTGGTGCCGGATAAATTGCAAATTCAAGCTTCGACTTTTTGCCATAGTCGACGGACAGTCTTTCCATGAGGAGGGAAGTGAAGCCAGATCCGGTACCACCTCCAAAGGAGTGGAATATTAAGAAACCTTGAAGTCCTGTGCATTGATCTGCTAGCTTGCGAATCCTGTCAAGTACTAAGTCAACAATTTCTTTTCCAATCGTGTAATGTCCACGGGCATAATTGTTTGCTGCGTCTTCCTTGCCCGTGATCAATTGTTCTGGGTGGAAAAGCTGGCGATACGTTCCAGTACGTACTTCATCTGCAATTACAATGAATTTTCTTTGTTTATTTAGAACAATATTGCTCAATAAACAGTCAAGCGTCGCAATTAATTTTCAACAACGTACCAACTACCGTCGGCTCCAAATCAATAAAAACTGCACGAGGAACATGTTTCCCTGCTCCGGTTTCACTAAAAAAGGTATTAAAGCTATCGTCTCCGCCTCCAATAGTTTTGTCTGATGGCATCTGACCATCGGGTTGGATGCCATGTTCCAAACAGTACAGTTCCCAACATGCATTACCAATCTGGACTCCAGCTTGTCCAACATGAATTGAGATGCATTCACGCTAAAGCAAAATTACATCGATTAAAATCAAATTGCAATCGCATTCTATTTCTAAAAAAAATTATTAAATAATTATTTCAGATACAAATGAAAATACTTTAAAGTATGAAAAATGTCAAGGGCAGATTGAAGAAACAAATAATTTAGGGAGGAAAAAAAAAAAAAAGAAAAAAAAAGAGTAATCATCTTATAGCGAATAAAATAAAATTACGATTAAAAGTAATGAAACGTGAAAATTTCATAAAATCGATTATTTTCTTTAGTAAATGATTGGATCGATTTTTAACTCCGCATGAAAATGTAAAAGTTGAAATGAGCATCGATGACATTGATAAAGCTTGACCTTATTTGTACATGACATAATTTCCTTTTTTAAACTTTAAGTATACGAAGCAGGACGACGCGTCGCATGATGTCATAGTTACCATATAAGGATAAACTTTGTCTTGCACACTCAGCCCACTAGTTTAATAAAAAAAAAAAAAAAAAAGTCAATATAAAGTCCAGTTTTATATGGCTACTTTCACTGGCTTCTTAATTGAAAGGTATGATTCGCGACTCTTCTAAAATAATATAAAATGTCCGGTCATTTTAAATATTTAAAGAAATATCGTTACTCGGACTTGTTAATAAATAAAAATATAAGGCACGAAATTTTATAGAAATATAGGGAATATAAAAAAAAAAGTTTAAATCTCTTTAACAAGACGATATCATAATTTATCCTCTTTTCCGTGACTTTGCGAGTTGCGCATTTTACATCCCTACCAACGGCCGCCATCACATTGAAATTTTTACCTATAGGATATAATCGCTTTCAGTGGCAATCTTTAAGGACTTTAATTTTGCCGTTGATTTTCGCAACCGTGTTACCTACATTTCAACTGTAGTCCAACAAATTCCTTGAATCAGTTTTTTTTTTTATTTTTTAAACTTTAAATTTGTTTTCTGCCAAATGATTTATACGTTAAATCGGCTTATTATTTATATATCAATATACTACATGAAAAATACAATTAAAATCTTTTAAAGCATATGTAACCTATCCAATCACATTGTAACAGCAAACTAAATTATATATATTTATTTAAATAAAATACATATATCACTATTATATGGAAGAAATTTTGATCCGTTTAAATATAATGTGGAAACGTCGAAGGAGCCAGTGGTTTACGATTATTACAATCGAATAATCAATAAAAATAATATATATGAACGAAACCGTCTCTAGTTGAAAATTTTAATTACTCTCAACTTTCCTTGCCCCCTTACAATTCAATCGAAGCACCCTCCGTATCATTTATTTATCAATATTCCACGTAAATGAAATTAAATAACAAACTTACAAAAAAAAGTAAAAAAAAAATTAATATAAAAAAAAAAGAAAAGAGAAAACCTTATTAATATAGGTGGTCAACGCCTCTTCAAAACGCTACTTTTAAAAAAAAATGTACAGAGAAATATCGCCGACTGTCTGGGCTATATCCGCTAAAGGAAATATCCAATCGATAGTAAGAGACCGATGAGTCATATTATAAGAGGGCGGTGCCGCCGCCGGCCGGCAGCAGAGCGCTCGACCGTTACACGCAAATTGGCCGTTACAGGCAACATTCGAGCACAAAGAAGGACATCGACGACTGTGGAGACAGCCACTCGGCACCGCCCATATTACCATCAAAATAATTACGAATGAAGGGATCTCGATCGTAAAATTCCAATTAAGACTTACCATTTTGATACAGTTGCTTTTTCGTGGATTTGAGAAAATAAAACGACGAAGCGAGCAGCGAAAGTCGGTTGTCGGTGGAAGCGGGTAATGCAACTTCCTCAAACGGCAACAAATCGACTGTGACGCGGCAGGACACGCCACGAGCTTTTTATACTCGCGGCACCGCGAGATCCCATTGGTCGATGCTACGTCGATAAAAATGTTGGATTGGCCGAAAGTAGACTGCAATGCGCGATGACACTGCGCGTCTTGACGACCCGATGTTTCTCACGAATTTTACACGCCTATTGTTTTTATTTTATTATTCGGGTAATATTTTTAATCGGCAATTAGATCGTCCTGTTAGATACTGAATGAAAATTTGTTTATTATTTGCTTTCTCAGCGGATTATTTGGTAATCGTTTTAGTTGCGTTTATCAGGGCGACCAACAAAATGTTTTGTTGCCCTTTTATTCATATATTTCGTAGATAATCTAAGTGTTGCCTACGGCTTTTGAGGTGGCAGTACTGCTTAAAGGCTAACCTAAATTGAACGATGTCTTATTTTTGTAAACATAAAATTGGCAGACAATAAGTATTACGGTGAGTATATAATGTACATTTGTAAACTTACTTAAATGAAGATGGATGAATGCTAAAGTAAATTCGATTAGCTTTAAAGTTCAGAAATGCTTGTTCGATTTAAACAAATTGTGGGCATGTTGAAAAATAAATGTAATATATTTTTTATTCACAACTGTTAACAAAATTTCTAATCGTTTTACTTTTTAATCCTTTCCTTTAGTTTTTATAATCCTTGAAAATGGAAGAGAATCCTGATTTATATAGACTCCAAGGTAGCGATAGCACTGAAACGGGTGGTTTGATTATCGCTAAAAAGAAACCCTCGGATCATGTTTTTAAGAAACCTCAGACATCTATTTTTGGACTTGACAAGCTTGCGGAACAAAAGCGAAGAGAAAATTCAGTAGATAATCATTATGCCAAGGATAGAAGGTATAGAACCCACGAAGAAGAAACTCCAACGTACACCGGTGGAGTCAATAAAAGCGCACAAGATAAATTGGATGCGAGATTGAAACATCAAAGGTTCGACAAAAATGTTAAAAATCGAGATCGAGATAAAGACAGAAGGAAAGATAGGGATAAAGATAGGAATAGAAACAGAGAGAGAGATAGATATGGAGGTAGCTACAGAGATAGAAATAGGTATGGGGACAGTGCTAGGGATAGGAGTAGCCACAGAGATTGGACGTTACGATTCAAAGATGAGCCTCAGACACCAAAATATAGAGTGAAGGTACGCGTAGATTATATGCTAATTTACTGGCAGTCGTTTAATTAATTTAATTTTGTAATTTAATAAAGGATTCGACATCCAGAACTAATTGGGACGACGACGACGACGACGATGAACCTAGAAGAAGATCGAGTTGGGATCATCCAACTCCAAATTTATATAGCAGTAGAGATATAAGGGAAAGTATTAGAAGTGAATTTACACCGTCGTATAAATACAATATTTGGGCGAAAGATCGTAAAACAACCGGTGCTACTCCAATAGTGGATAACGAAGAAAGAGAATTATGGGAACAAGAACAGAGGAGGTGAATATTAGGCTGTTTGATGGTTTTTATTAAGATATAGTTTAGCTTATTAATTATTTTTAATATTGAAAGGCTTGATCGTGAGTGGTACGGACTAGGCGATGACGAAGGTAGGCATTTCGATAATGTTTCCGAAGAATATACTCAAAAGAAAGAGATGGAATTAGAAGCGAGAAAACAGAAGCGAGTATCCGCGCAACAACGGCAAATAAACAAAGATAACGAGTTATGGGAACGTAACAGAATGTTAACTTCTGGAGTCGTTAGCTCATTAGATCACGATGACGATTTTGACGATGAAGGTGAAACAAGAGTTCACTTACTAGTGCACAATGTTGTTCCACCATTTTTGGATGGTAAGTATAATTCTTAATATTTAAGAGCGAATTTTCATCCTAATTGATTCAATTAGACATTAACTGAACAGAATTCCAATTTTTGTATTGACATTGAGCTAATAAATTTTTACTTGATCGATACTTTTATTTGTACTTATAATTATAACGTATTTTACAAAATTAACTTCACCGTCATTGCTAAATTAATGTATACCTTATTAAAGATATTATTAATTAATTTTATTAATATTATTTGAAAAATGATGACTTTGTTATTTCACTAGGCCGAATTGTTTTCACAAAGCAACCCGAACCTGTGATACCTGTGAGAGATCCAACCTCTCCCATGGCTTTAGTAGCGAGGAAAGGTTCTGTTCTAGTACGTGCTTATAGAGAACAAAAGGAGCGCAGACGCGCGCAAAAGAAGCACTGGGAATTAGCTGGAACTAATCTTGGAAATATTATGGGAATAAATGATACTCGAAAAGAAGATAAAGAAGCACCGGGACAGGAGACAGATTATAAAGCTGGCCAAAAATATGCCAATTACATTAATGATGAGATAGTAGTAGAAGGTAGATACAAAAGGATTCAAGAACAAAGAAGAAGACTTCCTGTATTTGCCGTTAGACAAGAACTACTTAATGTTATTAGAGAAAATAGCGTTGTAATTATCGTTGGTGAAACTGGTAGTGGTAAGATTTATTTTACACTAAATTATTTATGAGTGACTATCTACTAATATTTATTTATACTTATTTATCTTAATTGACAATATAAATATCTCCAGATTAAGATAATTTTTTAAGGAAATAAAATTTTTAAGCGTTAATTTTATTTTAAACAATTAACACATGTTATCTGACTTTTGTAATTACTGAAGTGATTGCTAAATTCATTAATGTAAGATATTGAAAAGTAAATCTATATTCCCTGTTAGGTAAGACTACTCAGTTAACACAATATTTACACGAAGATGGATATAGTAAAAATGGTATGGTTGGTTGTACTCAACCAAGAAGAGTGGCAGCTATGTCTGTTGCTAAAAGAGTGTCAGATGAAATGGATTCTAATTTAGGAGAGAAAGTTGGTTATGCTATTCGATTTGAAGATTGTACATCTAAAGAGGTTGGCTAAAATGATATTTTCAATGTTATTTATTTTGCTATCGTGTAATTCAATGAGTTTATTACAGACAATCATCAAATATATGACTGATGGTATCCTGTTGAGAGAAAGCTTACGCGAAGGAGATTTAGATCACTACAGTGTCATTATTATGGATGAAGCTCATGAACGTTCTTTATCCACTGATGTTTTATTTGGATTATTGAGAGATGTATGATTTCTATTAACATTTATTGTTATTTAACCATATCGATCGCAAAGATTGAACAAAAAAAAAAGATATTCCCTTGCATATACAATTTTCGAGAATAAGACGGCCTTAATAAGATCGGTTGCTCTCCATTAGGCAAAGACGAGAAATATTTATTACTCGTATGTTTAGTTTATAAGCATTAGGAAAGAAATGTAACGATATTTTATTTAAACTACAGAATACGCATTGTTGTAATTATTAAATACAAAATTATTAAAGTAATATGTATGCTAGTATCTAACGCATTAACAAATTTAACACTAAAAATCAAAGACAAAATTTATTAATTGTCCAAATTGTATATAATTTAATCACCATCAATCACAATATTGAAAAGGTTACATCTTAAAATTGAATCATAATTTTTTAAAATAATAAATAACAATAAAAAATTGCGTGATTAAATACAGGTTGTCGCAAGACGTCATGATCTTAAGCTGATCGTTACTTCCGCCACTATGGATTCAACCAAGTTTTCGTCGTTTTTTGGCAACGCAGCTACCTTTCAGATACCAGGTCGTACATTTCCCGTTGAAACAATCTTTAATAAGAATCACGTTGAAGATTATGTGGAGGCCGCTGTTAAACAAGTTATGAATATTCATTTACAACATCATATCGGCGATATTTTGGTTTTCATGCCAGGTCAAGAAGATATCGAGGTGACTTGTGAAGTCTTAAAAGAACGTTTGGGCGAGATCGAGGGGGCTGCACCTCTTTCTATTTTGCCCATTTACTCGCAATTGCCATCCGACTTGCAAGCGAAGATTTTTCAACAGGCAAAAGAAGGACTCCGTAAATGTGTCGTGGCGACAAATATAGCTGAGACATCCTTGACCGTTGATGGTATTGTCTTTGTGGTTGACTCCGGATACTGTAAGCTCAAAGTCTACAATCCACGTATAGGTAGAGCAACAACTTTTATCTATCATTATTTACATTAATTATTCCTTATACATATATATTGGAATTTTATACGAATTTTATGTAACAAAGCAAAGATCATTTTTAATCGTATCAATAGATCCGTGCAGTTGTTTCATAAGAAATACGTAAACATCGTCAGTTTTGACAAAGTAGAGATAATAATATTGTTATATTGAAATAATAAAGGAATGCAATTTTGAATTGAATTTCGTGTGAAAGTATGCTTTAAAAGGGAATTAGTATATAAATATATATATATATATATATATATATATATATATATATATACTATGCATTAATTTTTTGATTCGTATTATACCCTCTACTAATATACTTCGAATTTACTTATGACCCATCAATCACCCAACAAATGAAATGTAAACGCATTTAATTACTCAGGTATGGACGCGTTGCAGATATATCCTGTATCGCAAGCTAATTCTAATCAGAGGTCTGGTCGAGCTGGAAGAACTGGTCCCGGTCAATGTTTTCGACTATACACCGAAAGACAATATCTTGACGAATTGCTAACGACCGGTGTACCCGAGATTCAAAGAACGAATTTAGCGAATACGGTGTTGCTGCTCAAATCGCTGGGTGTACAAGATTTGCTTGCTTTTCACTTTATGGATCCACCGCCTCAGGACAATATCCTGAATTCGCTATATCAACTGTGGATACTAGGCGCCTTGGATAATACCGGCAGACTTACGCCTTTGGGACGACAAATGGCTGAGTTCCCATTGGATCCACCTCAGTGTCAGATGCTTATCATTGCTTCGAAACTCGGCTGCACATCCGAGATCCTCATCATCGTGTCAATGCTCTCAGTGCCGTCAATATTTTACAGGCCTAAAGGACGCGAGGAAGATTCCGATTCCGCTAGAGAGAAATTTCAGGTGCCGGAATCCGATCATTTAACGTTTTTAAATGTTTATAACCAGTGGAAGACAAATGGCTACTCCAGCTCTTGGTGCAACGACCATTTTATCCATGCAAAGGCTATGAGAAAGGTGATAAGATTATTTTAATATTTGAACATTGTAGAAATTCTGTAAAGTAATGAAACGAATTAGAAATAGATGCGCCGATTAATACCCAATGATAACATCATGTGGTATTTAACATTCTAAGTAAAACTAGTCGTATAAATTTTTTCTTTTTGAAATTATTATTAAATGCCATGAATTTTTTACTGCTAAACACTTACAAAAATCTCTTACCACGGCATAACCGTGCATTGCCGTGTTAATCTGGTTTTTTTTTTTTTTTTTTTTTTTTTAATAATAAAAGCTATGAAATTTGCCTAAACCTAAATGATCGAATAAGTCTGTATTGTACTCAAAACTTACTACACACATTTTTGGTTGTTAAACATAATATACTCTTAGTATAATAATTTTAAAATAACGTTAATAACATTGAAATTTATAAAATTCAAAAGATAATTTTGTTAAATTACGCAATTCATTGGTTTTGTATCCTAAGATGCGAAGATTACTAAAAATCTATAACTATAATACTCAACAAGTAAAGAGTATAAATTGCTAAATTTATTTCATGTAGATGTACACATAAAATATGTTTAGTAAACACATGTGTTAAAATCCGAGACATTTGGTTTTTTGTTGTTTTTTTTTTTTTTTTTTTATGAAATAAAAATTGCGCTCCACGCTCTTACAAAAAAAAAAAAAAAGAAAAAAAATCACTATAAGCTGGAAACTTTAAATGGCACACAGGTCAGAGAAGTAAGGCAGCAGTTGGAAGAAATTTTGAAGCAACAAAAAATGGAGGCAACGAGTTGCGGCACGGAATGGGACATTGTGAGGAAATGTATTTGCTCAGCTTATTTCCATCAGGCCGCGAGGCTTAAAGGTATTGGCGAGTACGTCAATTGTCGTACGGGTATGCCATGCCATCTTCATCCTACTTCCGCTTTATTTGGAATGGGATTCACACCGGATTATGTGGTTTATCACGAGCTTGTAATGACAGCCAAAGAATATATGCAATGTGTGACGGCTGTTGATGGATATTGGCTGGCCGAATTGGGCCCAATGTTCTTTAGTGTGGTCGGGCGAAGAAACAAGCTCTTCAGCATTTGAACGAAATGGAGCACCAAATGAAAGAGGCCGAGATCGAGATGAAAGCAAGAGCTCAGGAGCAGCTCGAGCGAGAGCAAGCCTCCGTTAGAAAGTAAGTATTACAGATTCGTTAAACAATGTATCGTAAATTTTTTATACATCATTCTATATAATTAAAACGAATTTCTTTTAATGGCAAACATCGATTCAAATATGTGTAAATATAACTTTCTTTGGGTCAGAGGATGTGCCATTAAAATCTATCAATTTACGTTAGACTCCTAATATTTCCATTTATTAAAATTTTCAAATATTTTTTTGTTACTATTAATTTGAATTTGAGAAAATACACATTAAGTATTGGTCTTCATTTTAGACTAGTCATATCAAATACTTTTACACTAATAATTTATTGAGTTGTTATAAATTATATTGTTTTAAAATATGCAGCACTTAGACAAAAGTCGTGTTTATACTTTTAATTTTATATTTAATTAGAAATTCGTTTTCCATTCAATGTTAGCTGACTTTTTCTATAATTTTCTAGACAAGAAATATTAACTCCTGGAATGAAAGAACCCGGAACTCCTGTCTCATATCGTAAAACTCCAGCACGTTTAGGGTTGTAAATATTCTTAATATACGTAAAAATCATGAATATTTTTATGTAAATTTTATTTAAAATAAATTTATTTAATTTTATATTTGTCTTTATTCTTATACCCCTTATGATTAAAAACAATTGTCTATAAAAGTGAAATTCTAATCATTTAAAAAATAATTATAAATTTTATCTGAATAATCGCTTTTGTCATAACTTAACATATGATAGTATAAAAACATGTGTGATTAACAGATCAGATTTGTCAACTTTTTTTTTTTTTTTTTAAATAAAAACTGAAAGTATCTTATTTAGAACAATAAATATTACATTAAGATAGGTTTGAGTATTCAAAACAAAATGAGTACCTGTATATAATTTATTATCATTACAGGTGATTTTTGTTTTATATAAGTGGATTGTTAAAATACTTATATAATACCAAT